GGTGTAAAAGCTCTGGGCTGGGTCACTGCTTTTGCATTTGGTTTAGGAGAGACTTGTGGGAGGCTGCTGGGTGCTGGGCCCCTCCGCCTGCTCTGCTGCTAGGCGGACGATGCTGCAGCACCGGGTGCGTGGTGGGTGCTGGGGACCCCTGTGCAGGGGCCAGCTTCAGGTCTGTACCTTTGGGAATAGACCCTGGTGGGTTTGGGTTGGGGGCAGCCAGGTGTACCCTTCCCAGGTTGCAAAGCTGGGGGTGTCCCCATGCTCAGGGTCAAGTCACAGGGACCCTGTGGCCTCTGGTTCCTCTGGTGCTGGCTTGCCCAGGATGCTGGAGGCTGAGAAACAGCATCCTGGGCTTTGAATCTGGGGGAACTGAAGGGGAAAGCAGTGCCAGGACTCCTGGGGTCATCTCTGCTTGCCTGCTGGGTTTATTGGGCCAGTGACCAGCTTCACTCACTGCCCCGAGGGGCCGGAGCAGGACCCCAACTCCTCACCACCCCTGGGTCCCCTCATTGCCTCCTCGGGGCTGGGAAAGCCTGGAAGCGAGGGCAGCCTAGCACGGCCATGGGGCCTCTCCTGCACAGCAGCTCAGCCGAGCGTGAAATGGGCTGAAAAGAAAAGGGACAGCACAACGTTCCCAGGGCTGGGGGCGGAGGACGTTTGTCCCCCGTGGTGGCCGCAGTCCCCACCACGGCTGCAGAGAGGGGCTGTGGCTGCTGTGCCAATCCTGCCTTCCCATCCCTCTTTGCCTTCACTGATTTGCAACCGTTTCAGGGCACCCAGCCCCATCCTGACTGGCATTGCTGGCCCTGTTGGAGCCCTGGGGGCTGCGGTCCCCGGCCGGGTGCAGGATGCGGACCCTGGCCTGGCTGGGCATCGCCAGCCTGTGTCTGGGGACAGCTTGGGCTGTCCCAGCCAAGGAGGAGAGGAGGAAGGCGGAGAAGCCAAAAGCTGACTTTGCACTCTACGAAAACCTGGACCTGGACAACTACGACCTGACTTTGGACAACTACGGTGAGATCCTTGACCTGAGCAACTACGAGGAGCTCTACGAGTACAACGACTTTGCTCCGAAGGTGAGGGGGACACAGGAGAGCACCCGGCATGGGGGGCAGCTCTTCCCTGGGCACATCCCAAGGAAAGGGCTTGGTTGGGATGGATCGGGCACAGCTGGAGAACCAGCCCCTTGCACAAACCTATGAGCCCTGGTGTCTCTTTCACCGCTCTTGGTAGTGGCAGGGAGGGCTT